GATTCAAATTATAATTATAATTAAATATTTTTTTAGTAACAACTGAGATCATTTGAGCCGTTTAATACAAAAGTGATATAGTCAGTTTTTTGCCTATTCGATTTAACACCACATCTCGAAAGCTCAACCTTCGTTCTGTTTTGTGCAGAAGTGGTGTAAGTATATCTTCATTAGTTTCTCGGTAGATGGCAAAGTAAGTAGGAATCACCCACTCGAATGGCATGGACGCTATATGTATACAGGAATGGTGTAAGTCAGTTTTTGATGTGAGATAGATGACACTGGACCTCTGGATTTCGAAGAAGAAGTGAGCGATGAATAAGAACGTAACGTTATCGCTATCCACAATGTTTCTGTGTCATACTCATTATTATTTTTCGATTTAAATTCATCAGAAATAAAAATTTGTTTCAATGTAAACCACATTTTATACATTTTATTCATTTTCTAAAATGATTTGTTTGGTAATTAATAAAGCAGTAAAAACATAATATCTACCTCAGCAAGCAGATCCCTTTCTTATTACATCTAATAATAATAATTACCTTCCCGGTTTGGTGTATAAAATGGTGCAAGTCTGAAGAATATTGAATGAAATGATTCTACACACATACATGTATCTTGATTTTCGGGGTAAAATGGCATTATTAGCTCAAGAGATATTAACATCCTTTCGTATTATTGAATTTTACAGAACTTTTACTTTATCCCTCATTATCCAGAAATCAACTTTCTTGACTTACACCACTTTCGCATTAAATGGCTTATTTATTAACTGCATTTAGAGATAAAAGAGGATTTGAAGTGTAGGTAAATAGCAAGAATATTAAAGAAATGTTTTAAACATATATTTTCCTTAATCATTCAATTTAACAATTAGACACTTGGCAGTGAACGCATGTTTAACACCAGTGTGTGCTATGCATGGTCTAGCGGTTACCACAGTTGAAGGTATCGGAAGCGTTAAAACGAAACTTCATCCGGTACAAGAGCGCATAGCTAAAGCACACGGGTCACAATGCGGTTTCTGCACACCTGGAATTGTGATGTCAATGTACGCGTTACTACGAACGACTCCAAAGCCAAGCATGAAGGACCTTGAAATCGCATTTCAAGGTAAAACCACAAAAAATGTTGATGAATAGCTGTTACTATGATGAATAACTATCATAGTACATTGACTTTAGTTGTTCTGATCAGATATTCGACAAAGTATTTTAGAGTTATGAATGCAAACCTGAGTAGCTAATAGGGTTCAAGAAGAGCAAATAATAAATAGAGAATGTTTATAAATTAGTTAATTTGTTCATGTATGCTTGTTTGAATAAAAATATTTCGGGGTTTTTTGAAGTCGTCCTTGGTGATAATCAGAAAGTTGCTGATATTAAAGTTTTATTTATTTATATTTTTGCTCAACTTTTTAAGTGTTTGGTAGCTTCTATTTAATTTGTGTGTACCGTTAATAATAATAATAACAAATTGTTTTATATTGTGGAAAAGAAGGTATCTTTCGTTTGTAGTTCTTTTTAATGGTTGTTTATGCTGTGAAACTCATTTGTGTTTTACTCAATATTTTCTTAACATTACAATGTTCTTTTACAGAGTTGTTGATAAGTTTAGTAAATGTGGCGCGTTGAACGATCGGAGACTCGAAGAATTCGTGATTGAAATCGAAGAATAAACATTCTTAAAAACAGAAATGAGATTGAGAAAGAATTGGAACTGCAACTGCTGAAATAGAACGAACCCAAAATTTTTTAAAATTGTAATTGAATTGGTGAATTTTGGTTAGATGAAGAAGATAGAAAGGCAAAGCCTTCAAGATCGTTTCGAAGGCAGCAAATCTCGAAACTAGAATATCGAAGAAACTATTTTGCAAGATTTTAAAAAGAATGGAGTTTTAATATAACACTGTCAAGCTTGTTTACAAAATGGTATTCACTTTTTCTCATTGTACACACTTATTACAAAATACTGTCACTTAATTTCTGCAACTTTCTAATTGTTACCCTGTACACGAAACATGAAATAAACCCGATTACTTACAGGGAAAACGGGAGAAATACATCGAAGTTTTTAACTAATTCTCGAATTTTTTGTACGTACATCGAATTTTCTAATTTGTTTATACTATAATAGGGAAGAATAAGAAATGTTAATAAAAACGCGTTATTTTATATTTTTATGAATCTAATAAAAAGCGGCTGTTCTGTATCGTAAATCTTCTCATGCATAAAATTAACATAGGTGTCTTATTTAAATTTCTTATATTGTATACTTTCATCGTATTTATATTTATATCATTAGCTTGACGAGCAATTTATTTGTAGGCAACTTATGCAGATGTACTGGATACCGTCCTATCATAGAAGCTTATAAAACTTTCACGGAAGAATGGGAAACGTTGCAATTAATGTCGAAAGATAAAGAGAGATCTTTGCAAAGCGGAAAATGTCCAATGGGAGAAAATTGTTGCAAGAAAATACCGATAGCAGAACCCACAGAAGTTTTTGATTCAAAAGAATTTCAACCATACGATCCTTCTCAGGAAGTTATATTTCCACCTAAATTACATGTAAGATGTTTCTTTGACATTAATATTTTTTTATACCTAGGCTTCAAAGATTATAACTGAATATGCAATATATATTGTACAGAGAAAAATTTTAATAAACGAAGAAAAATTTTTTTTAGCTGTCTTCATACTTAGATGAAGAATATTTGATAATAAAAGGGGAAAATGTTACTTGGCATAGACCAAAAACGCTTACAGAATTGCTACATCTAAAAAACCAATATCCAAACGCAAAAATTGTCGTGGGTAATACCGAGATAGGTAAAATTTACTTATAAGTCGTAATAATACCAGACAACTTTATTATTACAAATTGTATGAATATATAATCAATTTATTATACACGCTTTTAGGAGTTGAAGTTAAGTTCAAGCATCTATCTTATCCAGTTCTTATACAACCTACTTTAATTAAAGAAATGCGTAGTGTTGATGAATATCCTGAAATGATGAATGTGGGTGCTAGTGTTACACTTGTAGAATTGGAAAAGTCCCTGAGAAATCAAATTGATAAGAAACCCGGTAATTGTCCTTATTTTAAAGTTTATATTTCATATTGTAAAATGATGTTATACATTATGTCTTATTACTATTGCAGAATATCAAACAAGAATTTTCAATGAAATAATTAATATGCTTCATTGGTTTGCTGGAAAACAAATCAGAAATGTTGCCGTAAGTTGTTACCTGACTTATTGCTGTGTAAAATGTGTACATTATTATTTGGAATGAATCTTAATTCTGTGCAAAATTTAATTTTCAATTAAAAGCTTCCTAATACCTCTGTAGGCTGTTGGTGGAAATGTAATGACAGGAAGTCCAATATCAGATTTAAATCCAATTTTTATGGCTGCTGGAGTAAAATTAGAAGTTTGTAGCTCTAAAAATGGAAACAGGCTTATTCCAATGGATCATACTTTCTTTAAGAGTTATCGACAAAACGTTGTTTCACCGGAGGAGATCTTGCTTTCAATTCAGATACCCTTTACTGAAAAAGTAATTACAACTTTAAACATGACTGTGAAATATCATTCTTACTTATCAGTGAATATTCTATAACAATATATTTTTTATTCTCTTGTTTAGAATCAATATTTTGTTGCATATAAACAAGCAAGAAGGCGAGACGATGATATTGCTATCGTTAACATGGCATTAAATGTATTTTTTAAGCCTGAAACTAACGTCGTAGATAAAGCATATTTGGCTTTTGGTGGTATGGCTCCAACCACTGTTTTAGCGAGAAAAACTTGTGAAACCATGATTGGAAGGTATTTTATAAAATTTTTCGATTATATATTAACAAAAATATTAATGTAAAATACTTTTAGAAAATGGGATACAGATCTTCTGGAAACTGTTTATGACTCATTATTGAATGACTTACCTTTACCGGATAGCGTTCCAGGTGGAATGGTCAAATATCGCAAATCGTTAACTTTAAGGTATATAAGGGAGAACAAAATAACATAATCATCTCAAATATCTTACTTGTTTTTCACTTGTTATTAGCTTTACTTGTTATAGTAAATTTTCATTCATTAATCTCTCTGTTGTAGTTATTTCATTATTCGCATCTATTCCTAAACATTTTTGAACTTTTCGTACTCAAGGTCACGTGAAGGTCACAGTAGTATAGGTCATTGGATAGGTCTTGAAAAATATGTACTCCCATTTACAAAAACGTCGATGACCTTGAAATCTTGAAAAATATGTCCTTGAGAAAAATTTTGTTTCAACAATGCTTTCCTTTAACATTTTATTTATATTATCAAAAACAAGTGAGATATTCGAGATGATCAAGTTACTTTATCCATCCTGTACATATTTATTGTTTCACAATAAATTAAAGAAGAAGTTACTTCAACATAATATCTCTTGTTCAATTTTGCAGCTTATTTTTTAAAGGATTTTTACATATAGCTAAGAAACTTCAAGTATTGTCGGATTCTCTGTCTTTGCGGAAAGAAATAGAAAGTGCAGCTGATGGATTTCATTCCAAAGAACCAAATAGTTCACAATATTATCAAATGGTACCTATCATTTGTTCTTCTGAATATGTATATACATTATTTTATCTGGAGTTTCTTACGATCTATTTTTAATTTTAATATTCAACATTAATTCGCAAAGATTCCAAAGGATCAAGAAGCAAATGATTTAATTGGAAGGCCTGTTGTTCATGCCAGTGCATTTAAACAGGCAACGGGAGAAGCAATTTATTGTGACGATATGCCGAAGTATACCGAGGAGCTTTATTTAGCTTTGGTTTTGTCTACTAGAGCCCACGCAAAAATTTTGAAAATTGATGCAACCAAAGCAGTATCATTAGAAGGTGTAGTGGCCTTTTTTAGCGCGAAAGATATACCTGAAAAGCAACGATGGCATGGTCCTGTATTTCATGATGAAGAAGTTTTTGTATCAGATAAGGTAAGAAGCAGGACTTCATCGTTTATTTTAATAAAATACGTTTGTAGAAAGAATAGATATTTTTCTTTACAAAATACGGTTTATTAAATAAAAAATAAATATATTACTTTCTAAGGTAACCAGTCATGGTCAATTAATTGGGGCAATTGTAGCAGTTAATGAGAATATCGCACAGAGGGCAGCCAGAATGGTTGAAATAGAGTACGAGAACTTAGAACCAGTGATTATTTCTATAGAGGTATAATATAATTAACATAACTTTTACTCTCTCAATTTAAAATTAATTATTTTGACGATTGAAATACTTATGTATTTATAGGATGCTATCGAACATCGTTCCTTCTTCAACGAAACTCCAAAATGTATTAGAAACGGAGATGTAGGGAAGGCCTTTTCCGAATCACCACATATTCTTGAAGGAGAAATTCGTACAGGAGGACAGGAGCATTTTTATCTGGAGACAAACGTGACTTTAGCAGTTCCGAAGGAAGAAGACGAAATGGAAATATTCTGTTCCACGCAGCACCCTTCAGAGATTCAAACACATATTGCACATGTTTTAAACATTCATGCTAATAAAATTGTAGTAAAAGTGAAAAGATTGGGTGGTGGTTTTGGAGGAAAGGAGTCTCGTGCTACAGTACTTGCTCTACCTGTTGCTTTCGCTGCGCATAGGTAATTAAGTTTGTGTTGTATTACAATAATAAGGTGCAGTAATAACGAACTAAGGTTGCGTTATGAATATTTAATTCCTTATATTATAATATCTAATCATTTTACAGATTAAGAAAACCAGTACGATGCATGTTAAATAGAGACGAAGATATTATGATCTCTGGAACAAGACATCCTTTTCTGTTCAAGTATAAAGTTGGATTTGATAACAATGGTGCAATTAAAGCGGCTCAAGTTTACATTTACAATAATGCTGGTTATTCTTGCGATCTTTCTTTTGCGGTAAATTCATCTTTTGATTAAGGCTTACAATTTTTTATTTTCAGTGTAATATATAAACGTATATTTTATTAGGTTGCGGAACGTGCTATGTTTCATTTTGAAAATTCTTATAAAATACCAGCATGTGAAGTGTACAGTTTTGTATGCAAAACTAATCTACCGTCGAATACAGCGTTCCGTGGTTTTGGAGGCCCACAGGGAATGTTTGCCGCTGAAACGATGATAAGACATATTGCAGAGTATTTAAATATCGATGCTATTAAGGTATAACGGCAAATTAAGGCCGTGAAATTATAAAATGTATACTTAGTAAATAAAATTACAGTTATAATGAAGAGTTATTTTGAATAGGTTTCAGAGTTAAATTTATACAAAGAAGGAGATACAACTCATTATAATCAAAAGCTTCTTAATTGTACTGTACGGCGTTGTTGGGAAGAATGTGTTTTATCCTCGAACTACAATGATCGGCTTGTACAAATTCAAAAATATAACAGGTACCTTTCAGACATTATAGTTTCTATAGTATTGCTTTATTTTTCCTCTGTTTTTGTTTTATTTTATTATACTTTTGCTTTATTATACTTTATGCTTCTTATACTTTTTGTGATATTTTCTTTTCTTTTTGTTTAGTAGTTTCTCTTTACATTCTACAAAATTAAGATTAAAACATTTAATATTTTTACATCTTTTACTTAAAACAAATAACTTAAACTTAAAAAAAATTTTAAAAAATTCAAAAGTAGTATGTTAGTGCTAAATTATTTTTCACAGAAATACTAAAATTTTGTCCATTAATTTTGATGTACTGAATTAGTTTATGTTTGATGTAAAATTCCAATGGCATAGAGACCATCATATCAATATTTCTTTTTTGCTTATATTGACTCTAATAAGTATTATTCCAATAGAGCAAATAGATACAAGAAAAGGGGGTTGGCAATAGTCCCAACAAAATTCGGTATCTCATTCACTACCCTCTTTTTGAATCAGACAGGGGCACTTATACATGTTTATACGGATGGGTCTGTATTAATTAGTCATGGCGGTGTTGAAATGGGGCAAGGTTTACACACAAAAATGATACAAGTAACATTTATTTATTTTTTTATTATAATAACGCTTAAACTAACAATTTCATTTCTCACTTTACATACTTTTTTTCATGTAGTATGTCAACGTACGTCAACATACATACGTCAACAATTGTTTGTATAACTTATACTGTTGTAATCATACTAAATCATAACATTTAGAACGCATCACTTTGTGTTTTCCGGGTGTAATTCATTATTATCAATGAGTTTAACAACTCCTAACACGAAGCAAGTTCATAAAGCACTATGCCATACCATTCAGAAAGTGTCATAACATTTATGGATTCTGTAATTTAATAAACTGTGACTTGAAATGTATTTTTTAAAATTTTTTATCATCCATGTTCCAGATGTTATAATTTACTTCTGATATATTTTTAATAAACCATTTTACATGAACATTGAAAAAATTAAACCGTAACATATCTACTTCCGTATAATACAATTTCTTCTTTTCCCGTTTATTGGTATCCAGGTTGCTAGTAGGTCATTAAAAGTAAAACCAGAAAAGATACATATAATGGAAACTGCTACAGACAAAGTACCAAATACAACTGCCACAGCAGCAAGTGCTGCTTCAGATCTGAACGGTATGGCTGTTATGGTACGTAAACGCTCTGTTTGTAATTATAGTTTCCTTTTTATGTCTTCCTTAATTTTTGTAATTTTATTTAGAATTTCGATATTAATCTACCATATTTATAGTGACAAATTTAATTAACAGTGTTAAAATTCGTAAAAAAATTTCAGAATGCTTGTGAAAAAATTATGAAACAATTAAAACCAGTGATTGATAAAGAGCCAAACGGAACGTGGGAAGAGTGGATAGCAAAAGCTCATATGGAAAGAATCAGTCTTTCTGCCACTGGCTTTTACAAAACTCCTGGTATAGGATACTCGTTCGAAACTAATTCGGGAAATCCATTTAATTACTTCACATATGGCGTTGCATGTTCAGAAGTAGAGATTGATTGTCTCACTGGTGATCACCAAGTAAGAATATATTTTAATGTGGAAAAAAATCATCATGACGTGCAACTATAATTTTAAGTCGATTTATTGACATTTTTATATCAATATTAACATGTAGGTATTACAAACTGATATTGTAATGGATTTGGGCCAAAGTCTAAATCCTGCAATTGATATTGGTCAAGTAGAAGGAGCGTTTGTTCAAGGATATGGTCTGTTTACATTGGAAGAGATGGTATATTTAAGAAATGGAGCTGTTTGCACTAAAGGCCCAGGTGCATACAAGTTGCCTGGCTTTACTGATATTCCTGAAGTATTTAATGTGTCCTTATTAAACAGTGCATCGAACCCTAGAGCCGTTTATTCGTCCAAGGTAAAATGTCTCAATTTATCCTAATAATCTGAACAGCTGATCGACCTTTTAGCTTTTGCTATAAACAATGACTTGTTACCGGGTTCATTTTCCGAAAATAGGAAAAAATATTGATCGTTTTCTTCAAATTCTTGTGTCTTTTAAATTAATTGAGATATTGATATGAAAATGTAAGGACATATTAAACAGATTTTGATTATTATTTCTACATTATTTATTTAACATTATTAAAATTAGATATTATTGAAAATACTCATATTTCTGAGTTTTTTACACTATTTACACTTTATGTTACCAAATTTATACATATAAAATTTAATAATTCACGCAGTACGATTATTTCACGTAGGACGCCAATTGGCTTTCCCGGTAGATAACGTTAGTTTTAGTTAGGACGTTAATTGGCGTGTTCGGTCGTTAAAGTGTTAATTTATTCTAAATATTTAAGCTTTTTATGAATGTTTTAGGCTGTTGGAGAACCGCCACTGTTTCTCGCATCATCTATTTTCTTTGCAATAAGAGAAGCTATTCAATCTGCTCGTGAAGAATTTGGTGTTAAAGGCTACTTTCGGTTAGATGCACCTGCAACTGCAGCTCGTATTCGACTGGCATGTGTCGATGAGCTCACATCCAAGGTGAATTAAATATTTGATATAAATACATTTAATATAAATATATTAGATTTTACGAGGAAAAAAATAATTCATATGAAAATTAACATATTTTGTATTACAGATTAAGGAGCCAGATTTACAGTGTGAATGGAACATTATTCCATAAAAATATATTGATAAACTAGACGAATAAGAATTATTGCTTTTCTTATTATACCTTAATATTTTGTAATTATACGTAAATAGTTGTTTTAAAAAATTTGTTATGTAACAATGTACCGATTTTACCCGTTTCAATAAAAATGTTTTTTTCTAATCATCTTTGCTTTGAATTTTTATTCGCATTTAACTTTTTCTTTGCCCTCTTAATCAGTATCGATTTTTACAATCATTAGTTGATACATTTGTGGGTTATGTAAATCCCTATCTATTCTGTTTTACTGCCAGCTGCTACAATAGATGGAATTATAATTATCAGGAATTACAATTAACATACATATTGTCTGCCATGTTTAAATAGT